AAAAAAAAAAAAAAAAAAAAAAAAAAAAAAACCTATTCACTACAAAAGAAAATGCTAGAGTGGAGAAAATTGATAGACATCATCTTAACCAGCAATCACTTTAGTGATGCTAAAATTAGTAGACAAAATAGAATTGCCTCCAAAATATTTATTAATCACCATAAGAAAGCCTTCACTTCTAAAAGGATAACCCAGAAAACGCCTCAACTCAGTGATCAAGTTTAACATTGCCATCAGGAAGGCACTGTGACATTGCTAACACCCCTCATATAATGCATTTGAGGGGATTTCCAACAAAAATGCGTAACTTCACATGAATTATGAGAAAACACCAGAGAAACTGAACTTGAGGGGTGTTCTACAGAATGGGCTGACCAGGATCCTTCAAAACTATCAGAGTCATGAACAACAGGAAAGAGTGAGAGTGTCACACAGGGGAAGTGACATGACACACAAATTCAGTGTGCGATCTGGGGTTAGGCAGATTCTGGAACAGAACAAGGAAATTAGAGAGAAGAGTGACAAAATCAGAACAAAGCCTGTAGTTCACATTTTGGCATTATATTGATGTTAATTTTCTGGTTTGGGTCATTATACTTTGGTTATATGAGATATTAACATTAAGGGAAGATGGGTGAAGGGCATGTAGGAAGTTTATATTATTTTGGCAATTTTTCTAAGGCTAAAGTTATTTTAGATAAAAAGCTAAAAATTGTTTTGAGGATAGAAAAGGATAAGGGAAGAGAAAGAGCTTAATGTAGTACTTAGGACACACTAAAATTTTAATAAATATTAAATTTCTTTCTTCTTAAGGACTCTCATTTTAATACTCCCTAAACTGTCAATTGCCTGTGTTACCTTAAAGTTTCTAGAAAGAGCATCAAGTTTTTTTTTCCCCCCTTTGAGACAGGGTCTCACTATGTAGTTCAGGCTGGCCTTAAACTCACTATGTATCCCAGGCTGGTCTTGAACTCATGGCGGTCCTCCTGCCTCAGCCTCCCAAATTCTGGGATTAAAGGTGTACACCACACCTGGTGAGCAGCAAGTTTTGAATACTGAGAGCTCAATTATAAGATCTGATAAGAAAGGAGAAAGCTGAAAAGAGGGAGAAGAAAGCTGATACATCTGAACTATGAGTCTTCAGAAAGCTCTAATGTTGTCATTAAACCCTAACTTCTCTAGACAGTAGATGCTACAATCATCTCTACGTTATAGAAGAAGAAATGAAGAGCCATGCTTAGCATGTAAAAGTATTTATTACTCTAGGAAGTAGATTCTATTACTATATCCCATTTTATAGGTGAAGAAACTTGAGTTATAAGGTTAAATAATTTGCTTAACGCCCCGAATATAAGTCACGGAGCCAGGATCAGCATGCCCAAATCTGACCATGGAGACCTCAGTCCTCTCAACCACATGACTCTCCATGCCATACACAGATTGACTGCATTGCCACCAGGAATTCTGGCAACATGCCTCTTGCTATATCAAAGCAAAATTATAGAATGATCATCCTAAATCATTATACACCACATTATAGGCCATTCCTGATCTTTTTCAAGTTTGCTATTTTTTTCCTAATTTGAGAGTCAAGACATTTTTCACTTTCCAAGGTCATTTGGAAGTCTGATCTCGTCCAATATGTTAGGGGAAGCGTATACTAATGGGCACCAGACTTGGGGAGCGGACCTCTGCTCTGCCACCAGCATCGGTTGGCTATGAGTGTGTGTAAGTCAGAGCCCATTTATTATCTGTTGAA